AGGCAGGAGGGAGATTGCATGAAGGAGGGGGGGGGGAATGGCAGTCCATCGGTCAACCTGAGCAGGGCAAGGGGAAGGTCTCAGCTACTTCTCCATGATGGGCCGATGGAGGGATTCCACATAGGAGATGGCACTCTGCAGCGACGTCAAGCAATAGCCCTCCTCTCCTATCAGGTACCTGCAAAGAAAGGAGAGAAAGGGATAAGAGAGAGAGAGAGAGAGAGGAAATTGGGTGGGGTGGGGGGGATGTCCCCTTCAGTATTGAAACCCGAAGAGAGACAGTAGACAGGCGACACTTGAGAGGAGGCGCTGGGACTGAAAAGCAACGACGCTGGCAGCTGAAACGTCAGCACTATTCATTTACCATCTTTCTTTTGACATGGGAGCCAAGGTGGCTTACAAGAAGGTTAAAACAAGACACAACTAAATGGTAGATGACTTAAAATGGGTTTAAAACACACAATTAAATTAGCACACAAACAAAACAGGCAAATAATTAAATATTAAGCCACTCATTTACAACAGTGTGAAATCACTAAATGTTTAACAGCAAGGATAAATATCCTTATTGTTTACCATCACAGCCAGTTTGGTATAGTGGTTTGAACATTGGGCTTGAATCCCTGCTCAGTTGTGGAAACCCATTTGGTGACCTTTGCAGGTAGCAAAGTCACAGGAAGGGAGCGTACAAATAACTGGGGATTGGGTGGAGTGATGGTTGAACTAAATGGCCTTTCTTTTCCTTCTCTGTCTCTCAAGACAGAAGACAGCAGAAAGCAAAGACAATCAGATAAGAAACAGGAACAGCCAGTAAGCTTTTAACTCCCTTCAAGGATGACACAACAGTGTCAAAGAAGACATGACAGAAAACAGAGCAGAATACCTTCTCTCTGATACTTCTCTTTTTGCAACTTCCAATTTTAATTATATTCTTTCCAGGTTTTGCCTCATTATGTTTGTTTCTTCTCAGTTTAAGTATGTGACTCTTCCATTGGGATTATACAATTGCCCTGTCCACCTGTCCAGCTCCACTGGCTGCCAGTCTGTTTACAGGAACAATTCAATTCAACAAGTGCTGGTTATAACCTATATGACCCACAGATTAGTTTTATAAGATTGCTATTTAAAACAGCAATCTTGCACACAAAAAAACCCCATCTAGCTATCTCTTTTGTGAAGATTAATGTTTGCTAGATTTAATAAAATATTGCATGAAAAACAACAATCTTGAACAAAAAATACATGTGGCTGCCTGAAAATTTTACCTTTTAATGCAACCCTCCTCCACAATTCTTATCCAAAAAACTCCCCATGCATGTATTTCCACTCAGAATAATGTCCCTAAACACAATGGGATGTGTGAATACAGGTTGGAAACGGCACAGAATTCTCGCCACTGTGTTATTCTTCCCAAAAAGGTTTCTCAAATGTGGGGAAACCCTTTTTATCAGCCAGGAAACAGATACTGTTGAACACTCTTTCCTCCCTACTTGCAGGTCAGCCTTCTCCACAGCCACAGTGAAGAAAATGCCATTCCCTTCCAGAGCTTCACTGCTGTTTCCACGCAACTGTCCCGTCGGATTACGTCTTGCCCACATGCTGACCACATCTTCCTTCGGCTCAGCAGTTAGCAAGCCATGTATAAGCCGAGCTGACAGCCCGAGACGGCAGCAGTGAAGCAGTGGGCCTCACACCCCACAGACCAAGGCAGGCAGACAGAACTGGGCGGGCGGGTGGTTGGGGCCGGGCGAGAGGCCCTCGACTGAAGGCCCCCAGCTGGAAACCCAAAGAAAGCAGGAAGGGATATAATGAACTCATCAAAGCCGAAAGGCCAAGAAGTGAGCTGACTCTCAAAAGGTTCCTAATACGGAAGCTGCAATGACTTGAACGTCAGCACAAACCAGTCTGGGTTAAATGGAGGCCAAGCATCCAAGAGGGTAGAAAAGCAGCTCCTTATAGTTGTTGCTTCCTTTGTCAAAAATTTGCACTTAAAACCCTAGAACACCACAGATTCATATCTTGCCTCCGTGGTGGGCTCTCTGTGCAATCTTGAGCATCTGCCCTCAAATCCTTAAAAGAAAAGGTCATCCCTGGATGCATTTTGGAAGAAGCCTTCACATTGACTTTATAAAGGTTACAAATACCTTTGTTGAATGATGCAAGACTTACCTGACTTGGTTGTTTCATTTCAGACAGATATATTGTTTGTTGTGAATAAAAAGTTTGCTGAAACATGTTGAACTTTTTGTGAGTTAGGCACTTATCCATAGAGCCAGTGTGGCCAAGTGGTTTGAAGCTTTGGACTACGGCTCTATAGAGACCAGGGTTCAAATGCCTGCTCAGCCATCAAAACCCACTGGGTGACCTTGGGCAACTCACACTCTCTCAGCCTCAGAGGAAGGCAATGGTAAAAACTCCCTCAGAACAAATCTTTCCAGGAAGACTCCATGATAGGGTTGCCATAAGTTGGAAACAATTTGAAGGTACATGATAATAACAAGGCACTTGTCACTATTCTTTCTCACTCTTATTTCTGCCTTTAGGACCATTTTTTTTTTT